TTTTAAGTAAATGAAAGCATTTGGGATTGATTTCCTTACTTTGTTTGGATCATCTTAAGTTAATGTGAGTTGTTTTTTCTAAAGTAAAACCTCAGTATTCAGGTTAAATTGCCGTGTTGGCACTTTGCGATAAATAAGTGGGTTTTGGGTTGCAGTTTGGGCACTCGGTCTTTAAAAGGTTCGCCATCACTGGCCTAGAGTAACCCTGACAAGGGTTTGTCCAGCCGCTGCTTAAAGACTGCTAGTGAAGGGGAGCTCACCACCTCCCTAGGCAACTGATGTTGAACAACTCTTACTGTAAAAAAGTTTTCACTAATATCCAGCTGGTACCTTCCTGCCCTTAATTTAAACCCATTAATGTGAGTCCTACCCTCTTCTGCTAACAGAAACAGCTCCCTGCCCTCTCCTCTAAAGTGACAGCCCTTCAAATACTCCAAGAGAGCAATCATGTCCCCCTTCAACCTCCTCTTCTCCAGACTGAACATTCCCAAGTCCCTCAGCCTTTCCTCATAGGGTTTGGTCTCCAGGCCCCTGATCATCCTCATCACTCTCCTCTGCACCTGCTCCATTCTGTCCATATCCTTTTTGAAGTGAGGCCTCCAGAACCGCACACAATACTGCAGGTGTGGCCTGACCAGTGCAGTGTACAGCAGGACTATCACATCTTGCGATTTGGATGTTATGCCTGTATTGATACACCCCAAGATCTTTTTTATTGCCACATCACACTGGCTGCTCATATTTAACTTTTGGTCCACCCGTACCCAAAGATCTTGTTCACACACACTGCTACCCATGTGAAGTCACCTGTGGGAAAAATTGCCATATAAGGATAACTTTTAAGTCAGGCCTTATATTATAAGGATAACTTCATAAGGATAATCCTTAACTTCATAAGGCTGCCTCATAAGGATAACTTTTAAGTCAGGCCTTATATTCCTCAACTGGAAATGCCAGGACTGAGAGCCAGTTCGGTGTAGTGGTTAGGTGTGCGGACTCTAATCTGGGAGAACCGGGTTTGATTCCCCACTCCTCCACTTGCACCTGCTGATGTGACCTTGGGTCAGTCACAAGCTCTAGCACAGCTGTCCTTGAAAAAGAGCAGTTTGTGTCAGAGTTCTCTCAGCCCCACCCACCTCACAGGGTGTCTGTTGTGGGGAGGGGAAGGGGAAGGAGTTTGTAAGCCGCTCTGAGACTCCAAGCGAAGGGCGGGGTATAAATCCAATCTCCTCCTCCTCCTCCTCCTTTGAGACGCCCACCGACGGGCGGGGTAGAAGTCCATGCACCTCCTCCTCCTCCTCCTCCTCCTCCTCCTCCTCCTCCTCCAAAGGCAGGCAAATCAGGCCACCTACTTTGATTAGCTTCTACTCTGACCACCAGCATCTTGCCAGGGTTTCAGGCACAGAAATATCTCCCAACTCCGGCTAACTCAGGGACTAACTAAACATTATAGTTCCCCCTAGGTCCTCCCTGGGCTTCTGCAATCACATGTGTATTGTATGTTTTTGTTCTGGGAACTACGTGCAGACCCGATTTGGATTGCAGCCACAGCAGTCGGGGACAGGGGACTTTAGTCTTCCTCTCTGCCTTATTTTCTCAACCTGAAATGCCCCCAGGGGGCTGCTATTAGCCTTGTTCCAGGGGTCCACAGGCACTGGTGGGGTTCACCTCAGTGGGGCAATTAGCCCCCCCCGAGCTGTTTCAAGTTAGGAAATGGCATTGGGGGTGGGGACGTAAGCCCACTCTCCTTGCACACCATGGTCTTGATCCAGCCTGAGTCCATGCATGGCTGGGATTAAATTTCAAGCATGGAACTCACTATACACATTTGATTGTGCAGGCCCCCTAGGGAGGGTCCAGGAAAAATGGGATATGGCAGGGACTGGTCCTGGGATAGGGTTAGGTCAAGTTCTCCATTGCGAAGTATTTTCCCCTCTATGGTTGCTAACCTCTAGGTTGGGGTCTGGAGATCTTCTGGAATTACAATTGATTTCCAGACTACAGAGATCAGTTCCCCTGGAGAAAATGGCTGCTTTGGAGAGTGGAATCTATTGCACTGAATCTTGCCGAGGTCCTTCCGCTATCTAAATCCCACCCTCCCTGCACTCCACTCCCAAATCTCCAGGAATTTCCCAACCCAGAGCTGGCAACTCTAGGTCTTGTCACTTAACCATGGTCCCTCCACTTTAGTCCCATCCACCAGTGAATGAATGAATGAATGGCAGCTATGTACTGGTGGTCTCAGTGTCTGGATGAAGGTCACGTTTTACTCATCTTGGACTGCAGCTCATTGTCCCATCAAACACTCAGTGGGAGCTCTTGAAAACGGAGCCTCGTCTACATGATATAACTTGCCAGTTTCCTAGTCTGACGAGTATACTTTCTATGTGTGTTGATCATTGCAAATCATGATGTGTTTGTGTGGTATAAAAGGTATTTAAAAAAATCTTTTCCGTCAGAATGTGTCCCCACCACCACTTGTTCCAGGGGTTCCATGTCCCATGAGCCCTTGGCACCTTTCTAAAAGAAAGTTGTAGAAGCCACTATTTTGAAGAAGAACCATAGACACACAAAAGGCTGGATAGTCTCCATTCTTTCAGACCATTTGGAATCAAATCAGAACCCAATGGCCAACTAAGCCTCGTTCCCAAAAGAACTTTTGAAGTCTAATTGCCACAGGCCAAAAAAGATCAGGTGGATTCCTAAGATAGCAAGCTAACATATCAGATGCCTAATGCTCATGGGTAACCTTCCCAAGTGAACAGATATGTCACAAGAGAGCAGGAAGGTCCCTGTGGTGAATGTATCATGTAAACTAGAGCATAGAATCCCTACATGGAGAGAGAAGTGCATACTTTTTGCACTTCTGTGGCAGGCACCGTGGAGAACCATGTGGAGTCACTCCCCTTAACAGCATGTGTTTGTCTGTTTATAGGCTGCGCTTTCACGTATGGAGCCTATACAATGCCCGACCGCTGGGTGAATGGCCCTTTGCACCATTACTTTGTCCCTGTGGCCGCCTTTAATTCCTTTGTCTGCACAAGCCTCTCTTGTTACTCCCGGTATGTAAGACTCTCTTGCAGTACCAAGAAAGGAGCTGAAATGAACTGCGTTTTTGTGCAAATTCAGATGCAGCACTTTGAGTTTTGAAAAGTTCCAAATTCTGATATTCAGTTTTGTTTAAACCCAATCTTAAAATCTAATTATCAAATCCCAAATCCAGCAAAATCCAAATAATTTTCTGAGCAAATCTGAATTAAAGGGTTAAGAATCTCTTGTCCAAATTCATTTCAGCTCTAAGTAAGAACTGTGTTCTGCAAGCAGTCAGAAATCTCTTCTTTCTTCACTTTCTCAGAATTTTCTATATATTTATATACACACATCAATGAAAAGGGATTTAGGTTTTTCAATGCTATTTTTAAAACGGAATCAAGATTCAATATAGTTCAGCAGTCAGTGTGGGCTTAGATTGGGAAGACCTGGATTCAAATCCCCATTTGGTTACAACGTTCACTGGCTGATGTTTGGTTAGTTGTAATCTGATCAACCTTGCAGGACACTTGTAAGTATGAAAAATTGGAGGAGGGATGCAGTGTAGTTATTTAAAAGATTTATGTCTTGTCTTTCAGCCTAAAATAGGAGAAATTAGAACTGGGTTTCAAGCCTTTTCTCTGAAAGGGCTCCTGTTGAGGTTGTAGGGTTGCCAGCTCTGGGTTGGGAAATACCTGGAGATTTTGGGGGTGAAGCCTGAGGAGGGTGAGGTTTGGGGAGGAGAGGGCTGGCTCACCCACTAGGCGAACTAGGCTGCCCAGGGCTGGCTCACCCACTAGGCGAACTAGGCATTCCCCTAGAGTGCTGGGCCCTGGATGGGGCGCCGAGCTGTGCCTCCCCCCCGCCACCAAAAGCCCGCAAGCAGCTCTCCAAGTGTCAACACTTCGCTAATTGGGGAGAGGCATCCGGTGAGCATCCCCCGCCTGGAGACAGGATCCCCCCCCACCTCCCTCCCAAACTGCCTTCGGAAGCGGAGCACGAGAAAAATCTCTCTTCCATCTTGGAGAGCGCTGCAGGAACATGTGGGGTGTCTGACAGCTGCGGGGGGGAGGCGGTAGCAAAAGGGTGGCTGGCTCCAGAGGTCTCCAGGCCCCCCGGGAGGTTGGCATGTGCACCACAAGGCAGCCTCGCCTAGGGCGCAGAAACACCTCGAGTCGGCCCTGGCAATGCCATAGAGTCCACCTTCTAAAGCAACCCTTTTTTCCAGGGGAACTGATCTCTGTCATCTGGAGATCAGTTGTAATAGCCAGAGACCTCCAGCCACCACCTGGAGGTTGGGTAAACCAAAAGAGCGCACGGGAGAGATTGTGTAAACCAAAGATGAGACACACCGTGCTAACTTATGTCACAAATTCTCTATTGTTATATAATAAAAATGAAATATAGCTTCACTAAACTTAAAGATACTTATACATCCAACAAGTGGAGACCCGCAAGAAACTTGCGGGATGGTTATCCTATTCCTCACACCTTTGCTTCCTCCCCTCTCCCCCTACCTCTCTCGCACTCTTTCTCCCTTCTGCCCCCTCTTTTCTTACTCTCTCTCTCTCTCTTCTCTATGCATGTTACTTCCTCTCTCTTTCTGACCCGTCACCTCTTTGTTTTTCTGCCTCCCCATCTCATCACCCTTTCTCTCTCTTTCTGCCCCACCCCCTCCCTCTCTTTCTCCCAGCCTCCTGCCTGCTTCTTCCCCCACCCCACTCAGCAGCAGCGGTGGTGGCAGTGCTCCCAGCCACCTACCTGCTTCCTCTCCCCCGACAGCAGCAGTAGCAGCGCTCTGGGAATCTCAATGGATTTCCCAGCTACAGAGATCAATTCACCTTACGGTTGCCAGCTCCAGGTTCAGAAATCCCTGGAGATTTGGGGGTTGAGCCTCGGGACAGTGAGGCTTGGGGAGGCAAGCAGCCTCAGCAGGGTATAATGTCATGGACTCAACCCTCCAAAGCAGCCATTTTATCAAGGGGAACTGATTTCTGTCACCTGGACAACAGTTGTAATTCTGGGTGATCTGGCAACCCTATTTCCTTCCCACCCAACAGCCAACCAACCCTTATCTGCCTCTCTGTCTTCAGCTTTCCATCTCCACCCCCCTCCCCCACAGCCTCTACCTAGGAAAATTACAGTCTTTCTCCATAGTGGGGACCAAAGCAGCTTACATTATTCTCTCCTCCCTTTAGGGCCGCCAGCCTTCAGGTGGGGCCTGGAGATCTCCGGCTTTTACAACTGATCCCCCAACTGACAAAGATCAGCTCCCCTGGAGAAAATGGCTGCTTTGAAAGGTGGACTCTATGGCATTGTTCCATGCTGAGGGCCCTCACCTCCTCAAACCCTGCCCTCTCCTGGATCCACCCCCAAAGTCTCCAGGTATTTTCCAACAGAGACCTGGCAACCCTACCTCTCTTTTATCTGCACAATAACCCTGTGAGGTTGGTTAGGCTGAAAATGTGTGACTGGTCCAAAATCACCCAGTCAGCTTCCACAGCAAGATGGGGATCTGAACCTGGGTCTTGCAGACCCTAACTGCTGCACCACACCGGCTTTCATAGGGTGGCTGCTATTGAAGAGTAGCAAGCAGCTGGGCCTAGTTGGATCATGCAAGTCAGGTGGTATCAAGTCACCCAGACTGCCGATCTGCCTATGGATGGCAGCCTCCAGGTGGGACCTGGGGATCCCCTGGAATTACAGCTCATCTCCAGACTTCAGAGATAACTTCCCGTGGAGAAAATGGATGCTTTGGAGGGTAGACTCTATGGCATCGTACCCCACTGAGGTTCCTGTCCTCCCCAGGCTCCACCCCCAAATCTCCAGGAGTTTCCCAGCCTGGATCTGACAACCTTTACCCCCCATCCCCTGCCAGTGGCCAGAGGGGCACCCGGCAACCTTAGACTGCTAGAAATCCAAAAACATCTATGACAAAAATAATGAAGAGTCAGTAAATGTTGCAATATGTTGCAAAATCATTTACTGTAGTAATTCTGTAGAAAATTCTATTATCACTCACATGCAACGAATGCTGCTGTATAACTTTATCAAAGTGGGTTGCGTTGAAATACCTATATAATATTAATCCATTTGGACAACCCCCTTCCACCAGATGGGATAACTGATCTTCAGACCACTGAGATCAATTCCTGGCTGGGAGTAAATGGCTGCTTTGGATCATAGACTATGTCATTATGGCCCACTAAGGAACATCTCCTCCCAAAACCCCACCCCAAATCTTCAGGAATTTTCCAACCCAAAGTTGGCAACTCTAGCTCCTATGCTTTTAGCAGCTACATGGCAGGAAGGAATGAAACAGAAGCAGTATCCTTCCAGTGTGATAGTACAGTGACCTAGAGATGTTTAAGTTGTTAGATTTCTGCTAGACATTCAACCCTAATTCACTTAAAATGCTTTCCAGCCCCTCTCATGCTGTTGGTGCACATGGTCCTCGCTGCATGTTACAAAGTCATGTGTCTAGTTTCACCAAGAAGACTTTTTTAAAAAGGCATGTATTCCCCACTGAGAACCCAGTTTCTAGATGTGCAGGGGTCTTGTTCATGTTGGAATATGGAAGCTCTATGTTGTTGTTGTTCAGTCGCACAGTTGAGTCTGACTGTTCGCGACCCCATGGACCACATCACGCCAGGCCTATATCATGCAAGGTCTACAATGCAGCCTTATGAAGAAGATCTGAAGATCATCCTACGGGGGACAGCTGAAGGACTTGAAGTTAGCATACCCACTTTTTCAAATTGTGTTGTTGCTGTCTCCTCATGGGCTCTTCTGGAGACTTCCTGCTCCTGTAGGGATTCCTGTTGCTCTTTGTTCCACTCACAGCAGTTAGACTGGTTAGTTTAGGCTTTCTCTCAGTATGCTTTATAACGGATTTGTCTTCTATAATAAACCTACTAATTTTTCTCTAAACAGTCAGTGCTCCACTTCCTTTGCATATTTAAGCTCTGCCAACAGTTAGACTGGGATCTTTGAAAAAAGGGAGTAGGGCTACCAGCTCCCCACCCCCCACCCCCAAAGTGCCCAGGTCGGGCTGACGTGCCCGGCATGATGACGTCACCTGGAGGTGACATCATTGCACTGGACACGTCACCGGTGGACACTCTAGCATTCAGTTTGAAAACTCTATGGTATCATAGAGTTTTCAAGCAGAGCGTCCACCAGCGATGTGCCTAGTGTGATGACGTCAGTTCCAGGCAACGTCATTGTGGCGCATCCGTGAATGTCCTGGACCAGGACCTACTCCCCTCCTATCGCAACCGGTAAGCGACCTGGCAACCCTAACAGGGAGGTGGTCATCTGCCTTCTACCCCATTAGGGTTGCCAGGTACTCCCTGGCCACTGGCAGGGGGTGGAGGGCATAGGGTTGCCAGATCCAGGTTGGAAAACTGGAGATTTCAGGGTGGAGCATGGGAAGGAAAGGAACCTCAGTCGGGTCCAAGGCCATAGAATCCACCCTCTAAAGCATCCCTTTTCTTCAGGGGAACTGATCTCTGTAGTCTGGAGATGAGCTGTCATTCCGGGGTACCCCCAGGTCCCACCTGGCATCCCTATGCCCCACACCGTTTTCCTGCTTGGAAATGGCCCTGGGGGTATTATTCTGTACCTCATGTGCACCTGCATGTAAGCCGCCTTAAGCGGCATAGAAATACCCTAAATAAATGAAGGCAAAGGGTAAAAAAAAAATTATTTAGTAAAATAAATAAGGTCTCTAAATAATTGATTTCTCCATCTCCACAATTATTGGTCAGCGAGAATCAGTTAAAGGGGAAGGAAAAAAAACTGAGGGAGTTGAGGAAGCTAGGACCACACGCTCTCTCTGTTTAGGTTCTTAACACCCTTTGTCAACTCAGGCTCCTAGTCCTCATTTCAGAAACGTTCTGCCCCCTCCCCTTTCCTCTGCAGTGTCTTTTGTTTCCCTGGCCTCTTCTCCTCTCTCCTCTCTAACATTCTGTTTCTCTTGGTGGCCTTCTGGATGCCCCTGGGAAGTCCACCAACAAGGGCATGAAGGCAGCATCCTTCTCCCTATTTATTACCCTGCCCGGGAACTGTTATTTATAGATAGACTGCCTCTGAAAAGAGAGGTTCTGTTTAGTCGTTGCAGCTGGTAGCCATTGATGGACCTCTTCTCCATGAATTTGTGCCGCCTCCCTTTAAAGCTAGCTGTGCTGCTATGTTGTAAAGTACAAGCCGCTTTTCAAAGGCTCCTCTTTATCTGTCTGTGGGTTGCTTTGGCTGCATTTCCAAGCTGCATTTAATTACCACTTCTTCTTTTTTTTTCTGCCTTTCTCTGTCCCTAGATTCCTGGAACTGGAGTGCCCGCCACTGAGCAAGATCTTGAGGACAGTGGCCTTTGTCTACCCCTTCATCTTTGATAACATACCGCTGTTCTACAGGGTAGGCTCATTTTGTAAGCCACACAGCCCCTGGCGCAGGCTCACTCACTCTCAGTATCCTGACTATGGTTGCCAACCTCCAGGTGGTGGCTGGAGATGGCTGACACAAATCTGATATTAAAAATGGCAATTCAGAAACCAGTGGAAGAACTTTTCAGTCTCCCAGGATAGACTGAAGGCCAAACTAGCTGTTCTCTCTCTCTCTCTCTCTCTCTCTCTCCCCCCTCTCTCTCTGTGAGGAAGAGTTTCCCCCAAAGCCACACAGCAGCTATAAGGAATGTCCGTTAAAAATACATTCAGGTGGGTTAAAATGCATTCATGTTGGTCTAAATCCGCAGAACAAAGTTCGAGTCCAGCGGCACCTTTAAGACCAACAGAGTTTAATTCAAGGTGGATGCACGGGAGATCTTAGACCTTGAATACAACTTTGTTGGTCTTAAAGGTGCCCCTGGACTCAAACTTTGTTCTCTTAAAAGTACAGACCATTTGGGCTTGGGATGCCACCATGGGGCATAGAAGGGCTTCCAACTCCCCCTGGCCTCACCTGTGTGAACCCAGCTCTGTAAGAAAACAGCCTATCTCGTCTGGCCCTTAGGCAGGGGTGCAGGGCAGAGTATTTTGTGCCTGATTCCCCCCTGTTGAGCTGTTGAGTTCAGCTCCTGCAATGTCATCTGTAGAGGGCTACACACTCATCATCTTCATGTCTGTTCCCCTGGTTTCCCCTCTAGATTCCTCCCATTTTTATTTTGTTTTATTTTCTCGAATGGTTATTACAGGTTAAAACAGGGGTACCCAGTGTGGTGCCCGTGGGCACCATGATGCCTGCTGACTGTTTTCAGAAAGTGAGCAGGGCCAGGTGGGGCTTTTGCCCATCAAGGCTTTTGGTTAGCCATTGGAGATTTGGTTGGCTGTGCGGATTTTTTAAAATGTTGCTTTGGCAGCAGCTGCCACCACAGCACAATAATCTTCGCTGTGTGACTGAAGGTAAGCCGGTGCAGCAGCCTCTCTCTCCCCCCTCTCTGTCTGTGAGGAAGAGTTTCCCCCAAAGCCACACAGCAGCTATAAGGAATGTCCGTTAAAAATACATTCAGGTGGGTTAAAATGCATTCATGTTGGTCTAAATCCGCAGAACAAAGTTCGAGTCCAGCGGCACCTTTAAGACCAACAGAGTTTAATTCAAGGTGGATGCACGGGAGATCTTAGACCTTGAATACAACTTTGTTGGTCTTAAAGGTGCCCCTGGACTCAAACTTTGTTCTCTTAAAAGTACAGACCATTTGGGCTTGGGATGCCACCATGGGGCATAGAAGGGCTTCCAACTCCCCCTGGCCTCACCTGTGTGAACCCAGCTCTGTAAGAAAACAGCCTATCTCGTCTGGCCCTTAGGCAGGGGTGCAGGGCAGAGTATTTTGTGCCTGATTCCCCCCTGTTGAGCTGTTGAGTTCAGCTCCTGCAATGTCATCTGTAGAGGGCTACACACTCATTATCTTCATGTCTGTTCCCCTGGTTTCCCCTCTAGATTCCTCCCATTTTTATTTTGTTTTATTTTCTCGAATGGTTATTACAGGTTAAAACAGGGGTACCCAGTGTGGTGCCCGTGGGCACCATGATGCCTGCTGACTGTTTTCAGAAAGTGAGCAGGGCCAGGTGGGGCTTTTGCCCATCAAGGCTTTTGGTTAGCCATTGGAGATTTGGTTGGCTGTGCGGATTTTTTAAAATGTTGCTTTGGCAGCAGCTGCCACCACAGCACAATGATCTTCGCTGTGTGACTGAAGGTAAGCCGGTGCAGCAGCCATTTTGTGACTGGCACCACCTCCTGTGGTAGACATTTTGAGGCAGCCATTTTGTGGCTCCACCCACCATGCAATGTCAGAATTCCAAAGGTGCCTGTAGGCTGAAAAAAGTTGGGGACCCCTGGGTTAGAATAATTGTTTCCTCATCTGCCACCCTGAAAAATCCCAGTTTCCACCATTGTTGGTTCATGTTTTTCCTTCTTTCAGCTGTTCTTCTGTTTTGGTGAAGACTGCCCTTGGAATGACGCCATAGCTGGTTATTCCTATCACCTTTTCTTCGCCCTCCTCACTGGCTTCCTCTTTGCATCCCACCTGCCTGAACGCTTGGCTCCTGGTCGCTTCGATTACATAGGTAAGAGCAGAGTTGTAGCCAGCCTTCCTCACTAGGTGGAGCTACAGTACTTCCTGATGGGAATTCAGAGAAATGAGTGAAACACCAGTGAGTTCTTCATAACCAACAGGAGCTTCTAGAACCTTCACACCAAACCCAAGAGTCCACATGTATTTTAGTGACCCTGACTTGTTAAGCCTCAGAAACAAGCCAAATGAAGAAGACCTGACCTGGGTGGCCCAGGCTACCCCGATCTCACCAGATCTCAGAAGCTAAGTGGGATCGACTGTGGTAAGTACTTGGATGGGAGACTTCCTTGGAATACCGACTCGGGAGGACAGAGGCAGGCTTCATTCAGCCACCTTTCTGAATATCCTCCAGGCCCCCAGTAGGGGTTGGTCACCAGAGATCAACGTGACTTCCAGGTGCGCGTGCACAAACACACACACACAAACACACACAAAAAAGAACTTGTCAACAGTGCTAAGGTCAATAACCTGCAACCTACAATAAAGTCATAAGAGGGACTAAAGCCTATGTTCGCCACAGGTACAGTTGAACAGACCTGTGCTTAGGATAGAGGGTGTTGGGTAGGCAGTCTGGTGTAGAAAGAGGAGAAGACCCCACTGGAGGCAGCAAGAGGACAGTTAGATAGGATAGTGAGGTCAGCACCTTCTCTCCCGTTAATTGTCATTCCTTGTCTGTCTTTGGATTGCTACTCTCCAGGCAATGTCCTGCTTCTTCTCAGACGTTCCACAGCCTCTCTCTCTTTCTCTCTCAGCTAGTGATGTAGCTCAGGTACCCGTCTCTGTCTCTCCTCTTTACTATTAAGTCTGTTAGTTCCTGAATAAAACTGTATCTGCGCTTTAATCAGTTCGGTTCATGTTGAATCGCAGAATTCGCCTCACTAGCAGGAAGAGGTTTGTTCTTATTACCTTTTTTCCCTTGCCCCACCACAGGGCACAGCCACCAGCTGTTCCACATCTGTGCGGTGGTCGGCACCCACTTCCAACTGGAAGCTGTCTTGTGTGACTTGCACTTGCGCCGGGACTGGCTGAGCACCCACGCGCCGGCGTCCACCTTCACGCACACGTTCGCCACCCTTAGCACCGCCCTGCTGGGGAACCTGGTTCTCATCGCTTTCTTCACCGTCACCCTCTTCCGTTCCTCCGTCAGCACCACGATCCTGCAGAGCACCCTCTCCGAGGTGGAGCGGCACAAGGACAAGTGACTCTTCTCAAGGACAGCGGTTTTGGTACTACCAAGGGGAGGGTTGGGGGGGGAGGAAGCCTCCCTCTGATCTGGGTTCTTTCTTCTCAACACTTTGAATTGGTTTGCTCGGCCGTTGCACCTTATGCCTCAATCTGATATATCTGGAGGAATGCAACACCCTCCCTGGGAGGCAGCCCGAATTTTATTTTTCCTGTAACTTTGAGCACCTTAAAAAAAAGAGAGTCCAAAACTTTGATTGGAGCCATACGGCTAATGGGTTAGTAGGACTTGCGTTATACAGTGCTGAGTGCGTAGGAGGAAATATAGCCAGTGTCCCCCACCATTTCCCATTGTACTGGTGAGCAACTTACATGTTACCCCTCCAGTGGAAGGGAAGGGGTTGCAGGAGCTGATGCTGCATAGACCCCCGGTTGCTGTCCAGGACAGCTAAAACTGCCTTAGAGCTTGTCTGGATGTTCCTTAAGGGGCCACAAGAACATAGATTTAGATTTCCACTTCCCAGTATGCTCTGCCTTAAAATCTAGAGTCCCAGGACAAATCACTCTTTTGTCTTGATGTCCGCAGGCAGGCTGTGGTTGCTCAATATGGATAACAAAATATTGCATGTATACCTGGAAAGACTCTTTTTAGAATGACTTCACATGTTTCTGGGATGATCCCAGAAATGAGATTGGGGACCTGGCTCTAATTCACCCCCGAGATGTGGAACGAAGTGGTGAGTCCCCCTCAAAACTGGGTCCTCACATGGACCAAAATGAGAGACTCTCACATATGGCTTCCCCTGTATTGGCAATGAAGCACTTTGAAAAACTCAAAGGCGAAGCAGTGGCTAGTGACTGACGATTATGTGGCCCTTGTGGGATTTGTGCACTTAATTCTTACTATAACTAGTGCTTAGTCTTTTTTGCTGTTTGCTTGGATCTATGTCAGCCTCAGGAAAACAACAATTAAAATATAGTTTTGTGCTCCCAATTTCCTGGGCTGTAGAAACTCCTGGGAGCAGCTTTTGCCAGTTTCCTTTTGAGGAGAGCACATTAGAAGCCTGTGGTATTAGCCCCACTAAAACAACTGCAGTCCTCATGTCTGCTCTAATACTGCCAACCACTTTCTTTTTGCTTGGGAACTGAGGTTTCAGAAACTTCCACAACTGTGTAGAGGTTGGTCTGATGATGGACCACTTATGGTAGCACCTGGAGATCTCCCACGATGACCGCTGATCTCCAGTTGACCCGGTTCCCCCTGGAGAAAATGGCTGCTTTGGAGAGTGGACTCTATGGCATTGTACGCTGCTGAGGTCCCTCCCCAAACTCCATCTTCCCCAGTCTCCACACACCCGAAATGTCCAGGTATTTCCCGACCCAGAGCTGGCAACCCTAGTTAAGGGCACCCACAGTCAGCTCAGCAGACCATGCAAGAACCCAGAAAGAGAGGGCAAGCCCTTTACTCAGCCAAAGAGAGCGGCATGGCCCATAGAAATATTATCTGCTGTTATTTTGGAATGCTGGAACTGGTGGCTTCAGGCCAGTCCCAAGGCATATTTTCATGCCTAAAAAAACAAAACAAAAAACCCCCCTAGATGCCATCTCCCACTACCCTACATCATGTATGGTAGTTTTGTGGCAGAACATTAAAGCCAGAGCTTTTTTTTTAGAAAAAGACCAGCAGGAACTCATTAGCATAATAGGCCACACCCAACAGCAGAAATTCATTTGCTTATTAGGACACACCCCTGACAGCACAGCTCATTAGCATATTAGGCCACACACCCCATGTTCGCCGAAGTGTGGTCATCCAGACACACTCACCTTTTGCTTCTTATTCTGTTTACCTTGTTTGTTGTCAAAACCCATGGCTTTTTAATAGCAGGAACTCCTTTGCATGTTAGGCCACACACCCCTAATGTAGCCAGTCCTAATGAGTTTCTGTTGTTGGGTGTGGCCTATTATGCTAATGAGTTCCTGCCGGGTGTGGCCAACTCGGGAGCCAGCCGGAACTCTGTTCCTGCCCCAAAATAGCCCTGATTAAAACATTGGCCTTTTTACACATCCAGAGGATGACAGGAGGGCCTAGCATGATGTGGTCCATGGGGTTGCAAAGAGTCAGACTCGACTGTGCAACTGAACAACAAGAACGACACCTAAGAAGGGCTGACATTAGCTGTAGGAACTGAGGATGCAGTGAGAAGAGAATTCATGACATGTCCAGAGAGGAAATAATAGGGTTTCGACAGAGTGAGATTTATGTCTGAGCAAAATAATTTCTGGTTTAGGGCTTTGGATTTTGAGTGGCTTCTAAATAAAATTTAAAATTGCTAAATTACCCCTTCAGGGTAATGCTATGGAGCCTCTGAAACTTGGCATAGCTTAGGGACTCAGCGTGTCTTAATGCAGTCCTGGATTTAGACAGCAACAGAGGTTAAAGCGTGGGAGGATTTTTGAAGGGTATCAGAGCAAGCATTACTCAGGGTCTTCAAGAGCAAGCTGGGGAAACCTTTGTTTCCATGTGTGTAGGTGGACTTGATCCATGAGGCACGATGTGTAACCCCCCCCCACACACTTCCCAAACAACTAGTGATAGGCCATTGTCAGAACCATTAATTCCCCATTGGCCACCTCTAGAGTCCTGGTGGGCTGTTGTTCTAGAGCTCCAAGCTCAGCCAGTCTCTGGTAGGAACAGTCCTGGAATGTTCGCGTCCCAATACATAACAGATCCCGAGTGTGCTTACTTGGGGGTAAGTTCCATTGAATTCGGTGGGACTTCTTTCTGAGAAAATGTGGATCAGATCAGGTTGTTAGAGGGGTTGAGGCTGTTTGGTAGGGTTGCCACGTGAGGAGTGAAGAGTGGCGCCTGTACAAGATGGTGGCCCCTCAGTGGTTTGGTATCAGTTGTTCACTGTGGGGATGGTTGGAAGGCACTGTAATTGGGGTAATAAGATGGGTGGAGTTTAAAGAGATTTTCCTGTGGGAGTTTCACCTTTTCAAAAAGGATCTAGGGTTGAACCCTGCAGTCTTCCTTCATTTCCCCTCCCCCTAGCGGTCCTTTCAGACCCCAGGAAAGTTGATTTCCAGGGGCATGAGACCTATGTGGTCAAATGGCCCCGAAGGAGTTGGGAGGCTGTTGTGGGAGGGAAAAGGGAATGAAATTTCCCTTTCTGTTCCCTCCCTCAGCACTACAGTTTCAGAGCTGAGTGGTTTAGATCATGTAGGTCTTGTGACCCTGGGAATAAATTGAGAGGACTCCCGCAGGCGGGAGAACGTGGCAAAGATCCATAATCCTTGCATCTGTAGATTGCAGAATCCAACCTATTGCACTGAAGCAAAGAACTGTGGTATCCAAACTGAAGAGGATTTCCTTCTCCATTTGTTCCTAGGGTTTCACCCAGATCTAGAACCCAGCTGGGTAACTGAAATTTGGGGACTAAGCTGGAGTAATTGTGATTGACCTTGTGGATTGCCTTAAGACCTAGTATATATGGTGAAATTTCCAGATTTTCCATGTCACTGATTTGCCATTTGACAATGACTTGGACTGTCAAAAATGCGGGTTGATTGGATGTACATGGCACAAGGTGTAGCAGTTGCACAATTGTCATTTTACAGGGAAGTCTCCCCACAAGATGAGAAATGTCCTAAAAATTTTCCATGAGCACAAACATGCCCTCATGGGGTATGACCTGGTGACACAGCAGTGAATTTTTCTGACCCCTGAAAATTAGCAATACCATAGTTGAATGAATGCATTTATATGAACAAGTACTGCAGAAGAATTGGAAGCAATTTCTCACCTTGTGTTGGACTTCCCCTGTTTTTGTTAACTCTCCTTCTGATTAACAAAGTGAGAACACTTCTGATTCCCATATGGCTTAGAGTTTACTTAATATGTATTTAAAAACATTTGGCACTTCTCTTTTTTATTAAAATCACAGAATACAACAAATAAACCGAAGATCATCCAATCTGTCCCTTGAAAGGATCCAATCCAGTTCAGGCCCTAAAACTAGATGGAGTGTCCATCTGGATTGAACCAATGGTCCATCTAAACCTGTATCCTGTATACACAGTGGCTGATCAGTTGGTTTGAAGGGATAACAAACAGGTCGTAGAGAAGCCGCCTGACATTACTTCCTAGCTCTAGTATTCAGAGGTTTACTGCCTCAAGTCATGGAGGTTCCCTTTAGTCATTGCCTAATGACCACTGTACAAATCCTGCATGTCGCCACTGTGGCTTTTGACAGTGAGTTGTCCTGCTTAGAATGTGTATCTTCCCAAAAAGATTTTTGTCTTAGCTCAGGAAGGAGGGCTCCAGGACAAACTAATTTATGCAGTAGCCAAATCAGTCGCTCACAACTTTAATGCCAGTAGCTCACAAAGTAGAATTTTTGCTCACAAGACTCCACAGCTTAGAGGGAACATTGGATCTGAGACACAGAATCCTAAAGTTTGAAGGGAAAAAGGGACCTTAGGGCAAGCTTGGACCATAAGAAGCCAATGTCTTTTCCTGCCGGCCTCAATGCTTCCCTTCTGTATAATGGGTTTAGAACTAATTTGCCTTCCTTTAGGAAATATTCTTATCACGTCTGCCAGACAAAAAGTAGCAGCAATTGCTCTAAAGTGAGCTGCTGATCTGGCTGGCTGGCATTTTCCCTGCTTCTCAACTTTCCCCATGTTTTTGTTTTCATTTGAATGTGCGTACACACAGATGCCCATTTTAACATGCTTTGCCCTTTTTGCAAAAGTTCTAGAAGTAACAGATGCTGCTGCTTTTGTGCTCTTTGCACATTCCCCCCCTTTCTTTATATCATATTAACGTCAAAAACACAGTTATGCATTTGGAGAAATGGCGCTGTAGACAGGGATTCATATTGGGCTATGGATGGGGTGGAAAATATATATATATTTAAATGCACTCTAATTGCTATTCTGAACAATTATTCAGATGTGTTGCCTGAGTTGCCTTTGTCTACGGGTTGTAATTTTTTCCCTGGTAGAGCTCCTGTGC